TTTAAGTAAAAATATTCTATGTAACTATATGAGGTCACATCATGGCCCTCAGGTAGAGATATCTAGAAAAATGGAAAACAGAAAGTAGCCTAGAGTTGGTGTTGATAATGAAGAGCTAGACTCAAGAATTTCTGTGTGGGAGCAGTAGATCACTAATAAACAGTGACTGAACTTGATCTTGTCTTTCTCACTGTGGTCCACAGTACTGAGTGGTGAGCATCCTGATCAATACCTATAACACACACACAAACATGCTAAATAAAAGGGTTTCTTCTTTCAGTGATATTAAGAAGTATGTAGCATGTGTAAGGCAATTTTCCAGTTAAATGTATTTATGGAAGTGGGAAAAGCTTAAACATAATAGTGCATACAGTGTGGATTGAAGCACATAGTAATGCTGGCTCTGAAGTGGTTCATAATCAAACTGCAATACCAAATTTACACGTGGGGATATAGCACAGTGATAGAGAATCTGTCTAGCATAAGCAAAGCATTGAATTCAATCCCTAGTACACCAGGGGGAAAAAGAAAGAAAATGCTTAGACCTGGCTAAGCAGAGTCCCTGATCTGGGTTTTCTTGTCAGGAAAACTTTTTGTGCTTTGGAGTAGCTTCCTCAAAATTTTAGAAGTCCACATCTGGTGCATGATAACAACAAGGATCTCTGGGTTGTATGCCCTGACCCTGAATCAAACATAGAAGTCCAATTCTCCTCTGCAGAGAACTCTGTTAATATCTTCTTCCTATAACCACCAGCTTGTGGAGTTACCCATTTTCCCCAAGAAGCTCTGTGATTTCTGCCTATTGGACTGTCCTGGGGCCTTATGGCTGGGACTTGGCTTCAAGAGAATGGTTTGGTGACCAGATGAGATTCCCTCTGAATAGTATAATTTTCTTTCATGGAATCACACAAGATGAGGCCACCATAAGGTGTTAATGTGCTAATGTGATGTGATTCTTAGATCAGACTCAAGATGTAGTCAGGATTCTGGTTTACCAAAGTTTCATGGTTGAACCTTGGGCTCAAGCTATATGTTAGGGCTGTATGTTGTATCTCACCCATCTCTTGTCCAAAAGCAAACACAGCCTTCTATCTTTAATGCTCAGGGTGGCAGAGAGAACAGAAGACATTACCATCCCATGACCCTGGCACCTGGACTCAGAGTGGTCATTCCAACCCCACAGCAGTTCCCACATAACCTGTCAGGCATTTGCACAGAAGTGGCTGCCTTAGCCTTTTTTTATATACCAAAGATTGAACCCAGGGATACCATGCTACTGCAAAGTCTTTGAGATCATTACTCTGAAATGCCACCATGTACTTTCAATCTATGTCCTGATTGACCCTCTGTGTATGGATGAGAATGTTAATCCCACCCTACCCCACAGCACATCTCCCCCTACTCTAGCTGGTGGCTCTATTCGAACAGAAGCATTATGGTCAACATTAAAAGAGATCCCCTAGAAATGAAGAAACCAGGGTCTAAATAGTTCAAGTGGTTGAAAGATGTTTTTCTACACTTATGCTATAAAGTTCCTAACAAAAAAAAATAATATGAACAGTAAAAATGATCATTCACATTTTAGAGGGAACATGGGAGGAATAGACAAACTCTAGATAAGACAGAGGGGTGGGAGAGGAAGGGAGGGGGCAGGGGGTTAGAAATGATGGTGGAACGTGATGATCATTATTATTCAAAGTACAGGTATGAAGACACGAATTGGAGTGAATATACTATGTATACAACCAGAGATATAAAAAATTGTGCTGTATAAGTGTAATAAGAATTATAATGCATTCCACTGTCATATATAAATAATAAAAAAAGATTGCTATGGTTAAGCCTGGTATTTGTAGTCAACACCAATGAAGCACTAAAAGAAACTTTGAGCCAGGCATGGTGGCATGTGCCTGTAACCCTAGTGGCTTGGGAAACTGAGGCAGGAGAATCCCAAGTTCAAAGCCAGCTTCAGCAACTTACTGATGCCCAAACCAAGTTATTTTTTATTATGAGACAGGGTCTAGAGATATGGCTCAATTGTTAAGCACCACTTTAATTAGCACTAAAATTTAATTAATTGATTGATTAAGTTTAAATATAGGAATCTACAGAAAAAGTTTAAGACTGCTTTGTCAGTATTAGTCAAGTCTCCAGGAAAAAAAAGTTGACAAATTCAAGTTGAGCCCTTTAAACTTGCCCAAGTATGTGGGCATTTTAGGGAAACCACAAGGGACATTAGTGACAGTAATTGTAGGATATTTACAGCTCCTCGCTGGAAGAGGGGCAGGGGTTCCTGGAATCTAGAGCCCAAGAGAGCATTCTGGAAAAACCTAAATATCAGGAATTGAGATTGATTGTGAGGCCCATGGAAACACTAAGGACATTGTCAGTGAGGGAGCAGGCAGAACCCGAACAAATTTCTTAACCACAGTCTCCCGCTGCCCTCCTGTTGGCATGTTCCCTTTTCTGAACCCAACCTGATGCCGTCAATCAAAGGAAACTATCACTGAAGGACATAGTCCTGAGTCCTCAGCAGAGTACAGAGTATACCTGGAGAGACAAAGGAGGTCACAGACAGCACACTGGCCCAAATACATGAAGAGCTGAAGGAAAACAGACTTTCATGAAGACCAGAGTTTTTACATATTCCCTTTTCAATTACTTCTTTGCTCTTTATTTCAGGATTTTTGTCTCTAATACTAGATACTGTGTCCCTTTGTGTTCTGAGTTGTTAGAATAGTTTTGCATTATTTTAGATATTCCAAGAGTTAACTAAAATGATGTTGATTTAAAAAATCATTTACACTAATACACTTTGAATTCAAATCTAGTATGTTTGCACTGAGGTTGACATGGGAAAAATGAAACAAACCTTGTAATCACCACACATATTACATGCTTATACTCCTAGGTTTCTCACACAATTTTATAGAATTAATTATACAAGGTCCAAAGTGGTGTGAAGAAACAATTGACATGTTGAGAGTATCCTTTCCTATTAGAGTATTCACAGATATTGAAGAAAACATTGCACTTTCTAAAGTTTTGATGAATGTGTAATTTAAACACATGAAAATAATAATGTATGGTGAGATTATCAAACTTTATAAATAATAACTAAATTATTAGGAAAAGTTACCTATGTCCTTTATATTTGTTTGTTCATCATAGTTATACAAAGTAGTGGTGTGCATTTTGACAGATTCATAAAAGCATATAACATAGTTTAATCCATTGCAATCCCCAGTACTTCCTCTTTCCTGCTTCATATTACTGTATTGCAAAAGAAATAAGTGCTTCTTCAGGATAAGATTGTTTTAACCTTGGAGATATGCAAGCAAAGATATGCCTAAAATACCTTCAAAGTTTGCAGTTAGCATGATAGCTCACAGAAAAATTCACTTTATTTGTTTAAAAACTGTACTTGATTTGATGATTACATATCCATTTTCCTCAAAAGACAAAAAAAAATGTTAATTTAGCTTTAATTTATTATCCATTTATTATTATTATTATTATTATTATTATTATTATTATTAATTTTATTTTATTTAACATCTAATTATTATATTGTCTCAGCAGAAATTCAACAAATGTAGACTCAATTAATCAAGGAGCTTCAGTTTGGCATATGAGCATTACTGACATCTAGTGGTCAAACTAAATGCATTTCTTGAACAAATAAATGAGGGTCCTTTACATGAGCAATCTAGTAAACTAAAAAGGTAACTGCTATTGGTCCATCTGATATTTAATCTGGTTTTGAACACCAATAAATTCTATTTAAAATAAGTAATAAGAATAATGTTCATTTCAATAAGTGTATGTATCTGTTTTCAAACACACTGCTACTCTAGCCACATAAATTCTTTCACTTGTTAGAAAAATTATGTATATTGTCATTATTATGACTCCCGGGTGTTTTACAGATAAGCATTAGTTGCAGAGAGGTTAAGAAATGTTTTATCAACTATCAAATTACAGAAAATAGGTCTAAAGTTAAAGTAACCATAAACTATCTCTGACTTCCAAGTGTTAACTTCAAAGATAAGGTTGTTAAAAATTATAAAAATTGCCAGTGTTTGTTTATCAATAAATGCCTAATAGTTTCTGAGAACTTTGCAAGAATTACATTATTATATCGTTACAGAAATCCTATACATTGACACAATATTTTATCATTTTCCATGTGAGTAAACCAAAACTAGGACTTAGAATGTCACATGAAGTAGATCAAAATCGTAGAAAAAATTTAGTGGATCAGAAGTTATGTTTTTAATCTGTTCTCTAAACTTATTCCCTTTATATAAATATATATTTATTTTTATGTTTCTCTAAATTAATAACATATAGAGAGTTAGAGTCACTAAATGCTCACGGAAATCATGTAATATAATTCTTCAGTTTTAAACCTTGAGATATATATAGTTCAAGGTTTGGAAACTAGTTAGAATCATATCTCTGCTACTTATCCATATTTCTGAGTTGACTTTGAGGAGCTTCTGGGTTTTCCTACAGTGCTCTTTTTTTGCCTGTGCTGCCTCTCTACCAAAAGTAACTGTTCATTGAGTGACACATTGGGATTTAAAGTGTTGGTGTGAGGCCACTATTACACCATTTCTGACTAGACTTATGGGGCCTGTTCAGGAGAGAATATTCACTAGAGGTTGCACAGATAGCAAGTGACTGGGAACCAGAAGTCTCTGACTAGAAAACAGAGCTCTGTCCTTGGGGATATGAAAACCCTCTATCCCAGGTCTAGAGACACCACCTTCTTGAGAAGGCTTTTCCCAGGGGACTACAGTGGCTGTCAAATTTCTTGGTCTTAGCTTGTTAGAACTCAGTCACATTGAGTTTGCAGTCTGTGGCATCCTGTCTTTGAGAAATGACTTCTCAGATGCTGGGCAGAAGTAGGTGAGTCAGCTCCCCTGGTTTTGTTGAAAGAGGGCTCCAGTGACAATAACCAAAGCGATCCCAGGGGTGGTAGAGC